AACAGATTCATATTTATGATGCTTTCAGTGTCCTGGAGTCATATAAATCGCCTTGTGTGATCTTTTGACAAAATATAACATTTTTAATCAAGCCCCCGCCCCCGGTCAATGGTGTCCCTCTTTACCAATCTGAAAATCTGGTCACCTTACCTAAGAATAGCCTTAACATAGCCTCTTTTTTTTCTAACTAACTTCACTAACACTAGTGAAGCTAACACTGATAGAACTATGACTAACATTAGCAAGGGGGGAAAAAACAGAGTGAAAAATAACGCTGGTAAAGCTCTCAGTTTGCTTGTGGGATTGTGCCATGTGGCCCAGCAATGGAACAGCCTATTCTCCTTCCCTATCCCAACCTCCTGAATTCTGGACATCTTCAAAATGTGTCCTGTGAGGACCTCAAGGAATGGGAAGAGGGAGGAGCATGGAGTATCTCAGAGAGATGAGGAAGAGCCCGGGAGGCCAGGTGTACTTGTGCCTACACCAGGTTTACAAGGGAATCTCCATTCCTGAGGCATCCAGTGTTCCACTTCATGAACCACACATTTATTTAATGATTATAGTGTGGAGAGCAGGGATAGGGGGTTATTAAGTGAGAAAGTTAACTTAATGGCCATCCTGATTTCTAACCATTTCAATTGATAATACAGGGACTGCCTGTATTATAGTTCTGTGAGTTTTTGCCATCCAATAGCTATAGATGATGGGCTTTTAATCTACTTTATCCAGGTAAACCAGTCATGATTGTAACTGAATATATGGAAAATGGATCCTTGGATACATTTTTAAAGGTGAGCTTTAAATGTATATGCATGTCAGGTATTAATCTCCCATTTCACAATTCTTATTTCTGAAGAAATGTGGTTTCTTAAACAAAAATATTTTTCAGGTTAACCTCAAATCCTACTGATTTTGTGGATGTGATCATTATGCAGTTTTCTTAGCAATTGAGTAATTCAGTATTGCCTTCTAAGATGTTTTTTTTTTCCCCAGTGATAGCCCTGGTTTTTTACATTCAGTAATATCTTCTATACCAGTGATGGTGAAACTTTTTTTGGCTCGCGTGCCATAAGAGGGGACCGCAGGGGGGGGGGGGTCATGCATAGTCATGCCACACTCATAATGCAACGTGC